AACATTCAAACTTGATCATATTTCCAAAATAGGTTATTATAGTTTTTTTTTTTGTTAGTTACTTCTATTTATATTTTATTTTTGTTATCACTTTAAGTATTATTTGTTATAAATTCAATTTTATACTAATGACTTGTAATTTTTTTGTTTCTGTCAACAGATAAATATGGATGAACATCAAGACTCTCCTTTAGACTCTACACAGACTACAGCCAAGAAGAAAGTCAGAGGTCCCACTAGAATGAAGAATGTCACATCCAAACGCCTTCATGAGGAGAGATTGCATGTTGATATTGATGAGATAACTAGGAGACCTATGGGAGACTCAGCTGCCCAATTTATGATTACCATGGGGGTTCTTGCTAGAACCAAGGTTTCTATTTTATTGCCTAATTGGGATCATGTAGAGGAGGTTGTCAAGAACCATTGTTGTGATGTCTCGTGGGGGTTATCCATGGATTAAGAAAAAGTTGATGAAAGAGAAGGCTATGAAGCATCAAGTTAGCCAATATGAGACTACAATTAGTGGTCCTCCTTCTCCACCCACACGCCATGAATTATGGAAGTTTGCTTGCATAAAAAAAATGGGCGAGTTTACAACTGAGGCAGCAAAAGAGATTGCAAACAAGATAGTAAGTATAATTGTTTTGTACATATGATGCTAATTAACATATGGATCAATAGATGTTTATTAAATTGTTTTTGTGTCTTGTATTGTAGGATATATTGGAACAACAGTCCATAGAGGGATCTTTTATTTCCCATGGACGCTAGGATATACTCACAGTTGCAATTGGGAAGCCTGAGCACCCAGGTCGGATTTGGGTTGCTGGTGGAGGTCATAGTCTACAAACCTACTTTGAATCACGCTCATCTTCACAAACATCTGGCACGGTGGACCAGTTGGTGGAACTAAAGGTCTCTCAAGTTATAGCAACTTATGAGCAAAAATTTAGTCAGATGCATGAGAAGATTCATAAGCAGCTACAAGAGGACATGCAAAGACAACTACAAGAGCATATGCAATCACTCAGCCAACAATTTCAACAAAGTACTCCACTAATAGAACCATTTATTGCACGTGTGAGTACAAAGGGATCATCTGCATCTATTAATCCCTCTATTACTGTCACTAGCTCAGGTACATCTAATAAATGTGAGTTGTTTGTGGATGGATCACTCAATCCTGTGAGTATAGGGCAGATTCACATATTAAGGTCCACTATAAACCATCAAGTCATGGGAGATGATATGGTTAGGGTTTCAGTGTTGGATGTGAGACAACCAGAGGCTAGAGTTCATGTGCCCACAGAGAAGGTTCAGACAATGGGACAAGCCTTGAACACCTTCCTTCAGTGGCCTCATAAGTTAGTAAAGGTGATATCTACGAAGGTATATTATTTAAATAATATTTAATTTTAAGTTGGTGTAATTTTATTATAATATTGTATAATATTAATTTTGTACTTTGTGGAATAGGATATTGTTACCTCACCAAAGGGTAAAGGGACGGTCATTGTTACCTCTTCTAGAAATCTTCCTCCAATAAAGAGGCTATGGAGATTAGTTGCAGATATGGAAGATGACGAGCAACCTAAACAACTCCCTTGGCCTCCTGAAGTGTTTAACATGTCTAATAAAGTACCTCTATATATAAGTTAGAGTGATATATCAGAGATTACAAATGGTCATTGTATGCTAAAAATATCAATTTTGCAGTTATGGTTGTTGTAAGTATTTAAATTATTTTTAATTATATTTTGTTGATTTTTTCTAACATTGTTTCTAACGTTGTAGATTTATCCATAAATTGAGCGTGGATAAGGGAAATGATCACATATATGGATTTTTGGAACCTGAATCAATCCAAAAAAGTGGGAACAAGGTCGAAGAAATACAAGCTTACATTCAAAATTGGATGTCTGACTTAAATAAAAAAGTTTACTTGGCCCCTTATTTTTCTGTGTAAGTATACTTTTATATAATTAAATATAATTTTTTATAAAACTATTTTCTATTACTCATAATTTCTTAATGCAGTGCTCATTGGAAACTTTTAGTTATTTGTCCTATGGACAACATAGCTGTATGCATTTGCTCGTTGCATAAACTTCCTCCTATGGATTTTAGACAATTATTAGATAGGTAAATTGTTTAAAAATGTATAATTTATTTTATTGATTATCATTACATTTGACTTTAAACTATAATCATAATGTCATTTTATCATTAGGGCCATGGAAGGATATCATATACTTAAAAGTTTAAAGTTGAAGAAAAAAATGAGTTGGGTCTCTCCTAAAGTAAGATTTTAATTCTAGCAATGATATTTTTTTAAGTAATTTTTTTTTGAATTACTATTCTATTAAAATTGATTTTATATTCTTTTTGTAGTCTCATAAACAAAAAGGAAATTATGAATGCGGATACTATGTACTGAAGATAATGCATACTATTGTTGATTCAAAAATAGTATCTGGGTGGACTGAAGTAAGTTTTACAATTTTGAAAGTTTTTTTTTTTAAGTTCTCATTCTATATATTTTATGAATTATTACTAATTATTTTAATTTTTCTTAACAGATATTTATAGATCGATCACCGTTGCCGCTAGAAGACATAAACACCATTAGGGAGCAATGGGCCACATTTTTTATTGACCATTACTTTAACTAGTTTGGGCTTATGTTTTATAGTATTGCTTTAACTAGTTAGAACTTACATTTCATTGAGTAATGTGGTCCATTTATGTATTAGATGTATTTAAAACTATTCAATTATATATATATGGTTGACATTTATCATCTCTTCTCATTTGTATGCAATTTGGTTCATTGAGAAGTAACATAGAAAATACAAATGTTTTGGTTAATTGAAAACATTTGAACTGTCTAGTATTTATTCATTTGCAGGTTCTGTTCTGAGGTGCTCCCAAAACAAGTCAAACATTCAAAAAAAAAAAATCACTACTTTTAAGATCGGTTATGCGACAACCGATTTTAAAAAGTTAGACTTTTAAAATCGGTTGTTTCACAACCGATTTTAAAAGTTAACTTTTAAGATCGGTTGTTTTATAATTGATCATAAAAGTCAAGACTTTTAAGATTGTTTATAAGACAACCGGTCTTAAAAGTTAACTTTTAAGATCGGTTAATAACCGATTTTAAAAGTCTAACTTTTTAAAATCGGTTCTTTTAAAATTGGTTGTGGAACCGATTTTAAAAGTTAAAAATAACCGATTTTAAAAGCTTTTTTTTCACTAATGTCTTCACCTTATAAGACAGTTTTGTAAAATTAAATTAGATGCAAACTTGCTTTCTAAAATAGTATGATATGAAAGTTACCCTAGATCTACTATAAAAAGAGTCACTCACCATTGATACACACCAAATTCAATAATAATAGACATGAGGGTTGTAATGATATAAATTTAAGCCTTTCCTATCTTAAGTCATTAGAAAATGCTACTCACTATTTACTCATACATCAAATTCAATAGTGTTGAACGTAATAAAGTGTATTAAAAAAAGATCAATGTCTTACATCAACTAGAAATATGACAAATAAATAATTTATAATTGAGAGACAACCTTAACTTATAAGTTAATTTTATAAGATTGAATTAATTTTAAATTCACTTTCTAAGAAAAAAATATATTAAGTAAACTATTGAAATAAAATAAATAAATAAATAAATAAACCTAGAAAAGTGAAGTGTTCAAACATTACATATCATTAAAAAAAATTGTCATAAGGAAAAGTTAGGAAATGAAAGTTATAGAATCTCCTCATCTTAGCTATTATATTTTATAAAGAGTTAATCATCTATACACTGTTAGTGTAAAGTTTTTTACACTGGCAACCAATCATATTTTAAATTATTTTATTTTATTTTTATTTCATTAAATAAGTAACTGACATGACACTATTAAAAGATATGATTGGTTGCCAGTATTAAAAAACTTTATACTAGCAGTATATAAGTGCTTAACTCTTTTATAAAAGATATATTACTATTTTTACATAAACAATTTTTTCATAGGGTATTTCATCATCTAAGAATTTACAAATGTAAGGGTATGTCCATCTTCAGTCTTCAGTGATTTTAAGTACATGTTATAATATCATTAGCTTGAAATTTAGTTTGGTTATGACAAAGTCCCTTTAAACTAATATTCATGATTCTATTTTCGTGGGGGATTATTGGTTCGTTGATTGATCTTTTGGATGGAGGAACGAAGTATTTTTCTGGGTTGAACTCATCGAGTTACCATGTTGATAACATAGATTAATGAGTTTATTTGTCCAATTTAATATGTAAAAATAAACAAGTTGAGAAGTTGGTGTATCAAATTTAACCTAATTTGTCATCCATATTTAAAAGTAGCATAAAAGCAGGTTCTTACATCAAGAAGGAAAAAAAAAAAAAAAAAAAAAAAAAAA